TAAATCAAGCATCAACCCCAGGGCTCTGAACTACTTTTGACTGACAGGACCAACAAAAAGTTCCAGCTAATTACTTCTAAGGACTAGTTCCCAGTGCATGGAGTTCCTTGTGACCTACTTTGGAACCACTGAGATAATTTATCAGGTAAGATAATTAAAGGAATATAAAGCAGTGTCTAAAACGAACCAAGTATCAGAAATATTTGCTGAAATCATAAGTTCTTATTCCCAATGCTATCAGCTTGGGCTTTATTACTTTGCAACGAGTCAATTTTCTCTTATTTAGAAGCCATTCTTTCTCTGTATAAATTATAACTGGCAGGATGTATTTGAGATTCACTTTGAAGTTTAAATGTATAAGTTTGATTTTTTTTTTCAGTGTAGTTGTAAAGAGAATCATCTTCTAGGCTCCTTCCTTCAACTCTTCCGATGAACAAGCACAAATGGTCCTTTCTTCATACCAGTATTGCTACTTGTTCTGAGTCCATCTCTAATAAAGGACCCTCTATTCCAGCAGTGGGTACCCTACAATATGTACAGTTTCTCTTGCTTCAATTTTAACTCCCCCTTTTGGAAGTCAAACCCTTTCTTACACAGAGGTAAGCTGAAGACACTTTTGTAGCAAAGGTCTGGCTTTCATATTGAGAAAACATTTTCTAAGTTTTGCAGTCTTGATGTTCTCATAAGAAGAAAAGGGCAGGAAATGAACCTTGTAATGAAAGCACAGACCATAATACTCCATCCTCCCTTAGACTATAATCCATCCGTTCCCTGGGAACACGAGTGTTAATTATCACGTGATGAGTATCGCAGCCCATCAACACCATTTTCTGTTATTTCTGTCCCTATTCAGCTCCCCCACCCCCATTTCATTAATTTTGTCGATTCTTTCTTTGCAGTGAGCCTAGCTCGTGATCTCAGAACCTCCTCTGACTACGGGGACGTGACTGTGCACTGGCATTATATGTTAGCATTGACATGCTAACAAAGTATTTTTCTTTCTCTTGGAAGATCTTTGAGGAACTAGACCCCAACCCTATGGAGAATGAAAATATTCATATCGTAGGCCTGGTTTATAAGAAATATCAAAATTAATTTCATATTTTGTTTGTGTGTGTTCCAGGTATAATAACATTTGTCATGAGTATTTATTTATACCTAGTTACTGTTTCGTAAAGCCAAGAAATAAGAATTTGTGCATGAAATTTGTATGCATGAAATTGTGTTTTAGTTGATGTCAAAGGAAAACATATTAGAAAATATCGTGCTGTTTGTTACTGTCACATAGCCCAAGAAGAGTTTTATGTTTACAGGGGGACCAGCTACAGTTCCATCCCAAATTCCTAGTGCCAAAGCTCTCCTGTTGTCATGAGGGTTCTAGAACCGTATGGCCAGATCACTCCCCATGCGCTAATATCGTACTTATAGTCTCTCTCATGCCATGCCCATTTAACTTCATTTATTGCTTTACTTTCATGTCCTTCAGCTGTTTCCAATCTACTTCACCGTCAAAACAAACACAACATGTTAACATACAAAGGTATTTAGGTAAATGAAAATCAATGCATTTGAGTCAGCACCATTCTTTATTGCTTACCTTGGACATTTTAAATACATTCTATTTCAGCATTAACAACTTTCACTCTTGTCTGGCAAGTATAATGATGTTCTTGGCTCACTGCCTCTGCAGTCTCTAATCTTCACAGCTATGGCCACTTAGTCCCCATCTGGAGGTTCAGGCTTATTCTGAATTTTGGAACTGATCTTGTCCCTAAGCTGGGGCATACAAGAAAACCTAGCCAAAAGCTAAGTAATCAAGTATCCAGTCAGCCTTTCCATTGATTTCATTTTGACCTTGCAATTTATTACCCAGATTTAGGCTATATTTCTTCTCCTTCTCATCACCAACGCTTGGTCATCTAGCCAAAAGTGGACCTAGTTTAATTCTTAATTCATTGTCCTGCTTGATGCCTGACTCCTGGAGGCTTTGCCATGACCACCCTGTCTCTTTCATAACAATGCCATCTCTGAAATCCATTTGTCATACTGGGGCTCCATGGACAATTGCTGAGCCTTTCTGATGCCAACTAGCCTGGCACAAAAAAATCCTAAACTTAATTTATATCTGAAGATTTGGAACATACCAGAATTTGCAGTCTACTGGCTTGGATGTTTCCCCAATGCCCACTATAAGTATTTTCTGAATCCTCAGCTCTAACCCACAATCCTTAGGCGTCACCTCTATACACTGCCTACAATCTGGCAATTTTATTATTCCAGGGAGGACAGCAAAGAAATATTTTAATTACATATTTGATTGAATTGTCATGCCAACACCCTCCACATACTTTGTCTTGTTCATGCCACTTTAACACTTCAAAAATTCATTTATTCTTAGTAAATTAAAATAATCATTGCATGTATTACATGGGTATTTTGAAAAAAAATGTGAAAAAGTGTGTTCAAATGAAAAACCTCACATAGTAAGCAACTAAAAACTCTTAGGTAATTGTATAATGCCATATTTTAAATTCTGTACCTGAAAGTATAACTGACAGTTAAAACTGTTCATTATAAAGAGAAATGGGAGAAAGAAAGTAACTTTAAAATTCTCTGCAAGAGAAATACATGCTCTTAATGGCTGAACCATCTCTGCTGCTCTCCTCCATGTACATTTGTTTTTAAAAGAAAAACAATATCAACTTGAAAACTGATGAGAAACTAGAAATGAAGTCAATGATTTTTTTAGTCAGTCATTTCTTTTAAAGTAGAATTTCCATAATCATTTAAGAAGTTTCAGAAAAATGATCAATTTAAGTTCCACTTCACTGAAATTTTGATTCATTAAATTTAGGGTGAAGCAAAAATGTTGGTATGTTTAAAGAATCTCAAAAAAAATTGGTAATCTCTCACACTTGGGGCTCTAAATTTATTAGCATTAAAAGGCCTGGAGTGCTCTTAAGAAAGTATGTATCAGTTTTTTCTCAGATGCTTCAGCTAGTGTGTTTACACAGACACAACCCCTAGCTGTCAGGACACCGAAGGTGTTGATAAATCTGGAAAGCCTACTGATGGTTACTGTTATGGATAGATGGTTATCCTGTATGGGTATGTGCTGATGGTTACTGTTATGGAGAGATTGTTATTCTGTATAGGTATGTCCTGATGGTTACTGTTATGGATAGATGGTTATTCTGTATGAGTATGTACTGATTGTTACTGTTATGGAGAAATGGTTATCCTGTATGGGTATGTATTGGCAGTGCTAACACATGCATATCCCAGTTTGCTAAGATGGAGTCTCTACCTTATTCTGCATTTAAAATGCATTGTAAGTGCCCAGGGTTTCAATCCTGCCAGTATATAATTTTTCTTTTTATTTAAAAAGTATTCTTTTTTTTTTTTTGGAGTAACTCTCTGTATTCACATAAGCTTTATCAAAATGAGTGTTAATAACTCTTGGTAAATGTTTTTTATGTTGAAGAGTAGGAATGGTTTTTTGTTTTCATCAAAGATAAGAAGTGCATGTGAAAAAAGAAACAAAGAAAGAAGGGATGGACTTGAAAGAAGAAGGGAGGGATGAGATGGAATTCGGGAGGGATATGGAGAGATTGAAGGAAGGAGAGAGAGGGAAGAGAGGAAGATAAAGAGAGGAAGAAAGGAAGGAAGAGAGCAGAAGAAGGTAGAAGAGGGAAGGAAAGAAGGGAGGAGCAGGGAGTGAGAGAGAGAGAGATGGATAAAGTCAGAGGAGGATGGAAGGACAGAAAGAAGAAAGTAGAGGAGGAAGAAGGGTGAGAAGAGGAATGAAGGGACAGGACTGAATGCTTCTCCACTATCCAAACATGCCAAACTGTCTGTCTGTGACTTTGCACTATGCTCTTTGTTAAATGATATGGAGATGGTACAGAAGGCTAAGAATTTAAAAAAAATAATTATTTAATTTTTATTTTATATGCATTAGGGTAAAGGTATCAGATCTGTTACAGACAGTTGTGAGCTGCCTTGTGGGTATTGGGAATTGAACCTGGGTCCTTTAGGAAGAGCAGACAGCACTCTTAAACACTGAGCCAGCCCTCCAGCCCCTCGAAGGCTAAGAATTTGACACCCATTCAAAATAATGCAAGTTAGAATTTATTCAGCTAACTTTATCAGAGAAACTGAACATTTTGTAGAAGAAAGGAAAACCTGATGCAGGAGAGTAGCCCAGAGGTGGGGATTTTTGTTTTGTTTTGTTTTTGCTCAAGTGTCTTGTTAGCTTGGCTGTGGGTATGAGCATGTGTCCTCTTGTAAACCTCCACAGTTACTCAGACTTGCAATCTAAGAAATCATGTTAGCAATTACAGTGATTTGAGCACTCTCTCAATACATATGTTCAAATTCTCTATCTGAGCTGTATTAGAAGAGATGGTTTGGGGAAGGTGATCATGTCATGTATACTGAATCATTACTTACTTACTTATTAATTAATTAATTAATTAATCTTCCATAAAAGAAGACCAGAGATGTCCCTTGTTCCTTGTATTCCCAGCTACAGTGAATGAATGCTGTCTACAGGAGGCAGCCCCTCAGCAGATGCTAAGCCTTGTCCAGGATGGATACTGAACTTCCTAGGCTCAAGAAGGATGTGAAATAAATTTTTCTTGTTTTCAGAGGTCCACTGTGTGATATTTTTGTTATTGAAATCTACAGAAAATTAGAAGTCATCAGTTGTTCCTTGATGACATTTTTAATAGATATTCTACTAAATACCACTTCCCTCTCTGTCTACTAAGAGTGACCATTTTAGGGTCCTAAGTGATAGTTCTGTGTTTCCTATGCAGACATCTGCTTGCCTGAATCACCTCACAACCCAGCTCCCATAATTTTACAGCACTTAATCCTTAACACCTTAGTTAGTCAGAAGAAAATAAAAATTCTGACAATATGTCTTTGAAAGAATAGCTAATGAATAAGATAATTAATTGCTGATATCATTTTAAGAAATCAAAACAGAATCTTACCAGACATCCTCAGCATCTTCATCACACTCTGCACCAAACTGGCAAATGTCACAGGTGGATGTCTCCTTCTGACTGGTTTCTCCAGAGCCTTCATGGACTGTGGGACAGAAACCACACATGAAGGGCATGCAGACAGGTGTGCGCAGTCATGACAATTCTGGGAGAACTCTTTGTCAAAGCTGCTGCTTCCCAGTGAGGTCAGTTGCTACTGGACTCCATGAAAGGGGCATATTCATCTCCTTTTTTCCCCGAGTTGAAAAAATACATAAATGACCCTGTGGTACTCACTAGAGTAGAGTGGGTACTTCTGCCTTTTTATATGCGGCATAGCCACAAGAAGAGATCATATAGGAGTTTTGAAAATTGCTTGGCTGATAAATAGACTGCATGAAAGTTATTTCATTAAGAGGGGTTTAGACTGGTCTCTGTGAATATTTATGAAAAGTATTCATTTTCTTTCTTCTTCTATTTTTTTCTTGGTTTTTCAAGACAGGGTTTCTCTCAGTAGCCCTGGCTCTCCTGGAACTCACTCTGTAGTCCAAACTGGTTTTGACCTCAGAGACTCAGTTGTCTCTGCCTTCTAAGTCTGAGATTAAAGGAGTGTGTCGCCAGTGCCTGCCTAGTGTGCATTTTCTCATGCCTAATGTTTATATTTTCATTCAAAGGATTGTAATCTTAAAATATTGGACTAGTAGTGACATCCAATATTAGATGCTTTCATTTCTCCTTTTGCCTGTCATGTACTTACAAAGAAATCATATTGATTTTAAGTATTAAAAAAATTTAAGTCTCATTGTGTGAGTTGGTGTATTGTGTGTGTGTGTGTGTGTGTGTGTGTGTGTGTACATTTGTACATCCTCTCATGTGTTGGGTGCCTGTAGCAGCCAGAGGGGGCTAGAGCTGGAGTTACCTGACAGAAATGTTGGAAACTGAATTCTGTTGTCTCGAAAACCAGAAAGGACTCTAACTGTTGGTCCATCTCTCCATCCAGAAACTTTTAATTTTAATTTGAGTTGTGAACATAAAACATATTTAAAATATTAATTTAGCTGCTGATTATTGCTGATATTGCTCCTTTTGCTTTACAGTATAAATATGAAGTCGTCAAAAATGCAGACTAATTACAAATTAGCATCACAAAATAAGCACAAAGATGTAAGATAAAAAGAAAACATTGCAGTGATTGGATTGCAGGGACTGAGCAGCAGCATCTCTGAGGTGAGGTGCATGCCATAAAAGGAAGGAAAGCTGGAGGAGAAAGTAGCCTTACTTAAAAATGAAAAATGTAGTAATACAACTTTTGCAAAGACAATCAGTTTCCATGGACAGAATACACACTTTTCCATAGTGTTTTTTCAGACATCAAATGTTTTTTAAAGAGCCCTTCTTGAGAGATCATGTGATTTCAACTGAAAAGTGGCAAAAGTCCTTCATGGACCTCAGGAACATTTTATGAAAAAAATAACTGACTAACAAGGAGTGCTGGCCTGTTACATGCAAACTTCTTTTGTGATACTACTGTTTCTTCTCATTTTCTTATCACTCCTTTGCCAGTTAATACTTTTCCGTATTTACAAAAACAACTGTCTTTCCTGATTTTAATTTATTGTTGCATAGAGAAATGATTTGTTGAACAAAGAAACAAAGAGAAAGATCTGGACATGACTGCAGGAGAGTTCTGTTTTAGCCCTGTGAGGGACTGGGGGAATGTGCTTGCTTAGAATAATCAAGTTTTTCTTTTGCTTCACGCTGTATGCCAATGCTATTTTTCCATCCTCTCTGCGCACACGTCTTTACTTGTGTTTAAGTTATGAGTTAAATGGGTCACTTTACACGGCAAAAGCATCGATAGTATCACTTTTAACCTAGATATCTTGGGGAAAACTTCCCTCCAAGCTTCTGAGGAACAAGGATTTAACTCTGATAAAAAGAGACAGAACTTACATCAATCTACCCTAGCTCTCTAGTGCAGCAAAGCCATTAGAGTGGACCATGAGCATGGGAGAGAGGCTGAGGCCTTACCTCAGGGGAGAATGAAAGCGGAGGCTGGTCTCTTGATTACTTTCTTATTATTAATGCAACACACAAGCTGTTAATGGGAGTGAGCCTTTTAGTGCTAGCAGGATTAGCAACTCCCAGGCTACAATTTCCCATCACTCAGGAAGCATACCGCAGTGAAGGGACGGTGCTTAATGATGGGCGAAAGCACTTAGGGGTAGGACCATTGTCTTCAGCAGCTGAGATCCTGGGTTAGTGATCTACTGGAAAAAATGCAAAGGTGACCTGCAGCCATATTGCTCCATGGAAGGTCAGGTTTTGGTAGGAAAATCATGTTTGCCAATTCTCTCAGTAATTCAAAATAAGACATAGCACTGTCCTGTCACTAAATACACAGCAAATAAAATGCTGTTACATAAAATCATTCTAAAGAAAATGGAAAAAAATATTTCCTTTCCACCCCAAATACCTGTTTCACTTTTGTAAGATATAAGTGATTAAATCTGCTCCCTTCTATTTAACCCCTTGACCTTGGCTCTTAGGTAGGGTTGGCCTTAGAAGCAACAATAAATTTTACTTGGACTTTTATTTACTTGGAGATACTGAATTAATGGCATAATTGGAAGCTAAGATATACATATTATAAGAGCAAACACCAAAAATAAAGCAGACCACTGAGTAAGACTCTCTCGGAGGCAAAACCTTCATTGTCTGGTGCAAGCTTCTTGGTGCTAGAAGTGCACAAAAGGGACCTGGTCATGCCTTTAGAATGCAGTCCTCTTCCACAGGAAAGGGGAGTGGCCTCGTGTTCTTCACTCTTACAACCCTGACGCTGGGCACTCTGTTCCACAGACCCCATCTCAAAGGCAAAGAGCAGCACCATGCATCATTTCCAACTGCAATGCACAGCCTACTAGTGGGCAGTGGAAATAAGTGCCCAGAACCGACATTTTTGTAGCTCTGTAACAATCTACACTAGATTAGAACAGACCGTTGTGTCTTATTTAGCAAGAATGGGTTTATTCTGAACAATGCTCTGGCCATCCATGTGTACTTCCACAGGGGCTGAGATAAGAACTGTGATTCTTATTAACGATCAAAGACATACAAGCTTGCAAACCACTGACTTGCCGTCTCTTACAAGCTCAGTAAACGTGCACTGCATGGAAACGGTTTCTTCTCTGCCTTCTTTGTACATTACCAGAAACAGTATGGAAAGGATACGTGCTTAATTATTTGTATCCATAGAATGATTATATGGGAACAAATCCATTTATCCCCAAGTCTTATCTTAACCGTGCATTTACATTTTCAGCTCTTCATTTTGAGCTGCCAAGTAGAGCGATTATTTCATTTTATTTAATAGAAATGGGTTTTAACAAGTGGCTCAGGGAATTAGAGGGGCAACGGAGATCCAGCTCCTGAAGAACTGGGTCGTTGACAGACATTCTAGACGACAAATCTGCACATTCCATGTGAGAAAGTTTGGAAATAGAGAAGTATAAGAAGGAACTGGTCCACCCCTCCTAATCTCCCTGCCCCGGTAGCTTTTCCTAAGGGCTGTTAGCCCTTTGCCCTCACTTTGTCCTGGGTCAACAGGTGTTTACAGTGACATGGGCCTAGAGCCTATTTCTCTGCCCACCTCGCTGTCACACTTCCCCATATGGTGCTCTTAGCCTGGGGAATGGAATAGTCAAACAGTATTTCAGTGTCCATTTGTTGAGAACCTAGCAGAAATTGACACTTAGCACCACACTCAGTTAATGCAACTTTTTTAGTTTTAAGAATTCATATTTAAGACATAGAGAGCCATGGTGACAGCACCTTACCTTACGCTCCTTCGCCTGTGCCCACATTTTCTGCCATGACTCTGTTTGTATGTGAGCAGTGGGGCACGTGTTCTCTGTCACTGCAGTCTAATTTTAGCCATTCTAGAATATCACGTTAACCAAAACAGACAACATACCATCTCCAGGTTGATCTTTCAATAATAATTTTGAGAGTCAGGTAATTGGAGTATATCAGATACTAATCCTTAGATGCTTAATATTGCTCTAAATACTGTGACAGCTTATCTCTCCATTCTCTTGTTGAAGGACAGCTGGGCATTTGGAGCTATTAGCTGGGAACTATTATTGGGCAGGAGTGTCAGTGGTAGACACGAGGCTCTGAGTCTGATCTACAAGCACACACACACAAACACCACACTGGGGGGAGGGGGCGCCAATTGGGAGAAAGAGAGAATGACAAAAAGGGAAAAGATGGAAATTTTATGTTTCTACATGATGTTTGTGTGTGCGCATACCTATGTGTATGAATTCGGGTGTCCGTACAGGCTGCCTATGCAAGTGGTCAAAGAACATGAGGATGTGGTCCTTGGTCTCGCCTTTAGCCAGGCTTCCTTTGTGCTTTTCTACTGCTTGGTTCAGATTTGCTGGCTGCTGAAGGTCCAGGCATTCTCCTTTCTCCACATCTCATCTCCACACAGGAGCACCATGGCAAGAGATGACTGTGCTTTCTCGTGGGTCCTGGGTATTTGAACTTAGGTCCTCATTCTCGCCCAGAAAAGTAAGCTTTACCTGCTGGGCCATCTCCCTGGCCCTGCAGCATTCCTGTGAACAGCCTTTTGTGAATGTGGCATGTGTTTCTAACGCTCTTCAACTACTTCACAGTGGCAGGTTTACTGGCTGATGGTGTTTCACTTTTATTCTCAAATTTGGGGATGTGTTAATATATTTTGCACATGAATGCTTGCTCAGGTACTTATTGTGTAGGTGTGTGTGTGTCTCAGACTTCCTCCTTAAAGGTCTTTTCATGTGGTGAGCATAAGTTTGTTTTGATGAAGTCACATTTTTCCTGGTATGATTTTTATTTTTATGTCCCCTCTAGAAAGTCTTCTACTCAAAGGTTATATCCATCTCTGCTTTTATAAATTTTAAAGTTTAGTTTTATGCTCAGGTTTGTGAGCTACCTCAAATTGAGTTTTGGATTTCATGGGAAGACTGAGAATCCTTTTTCCCCCCAAGTGTGATTTTTCTCTTGATCTGTAAATGTGATAAAATGCATTAATTTTCACATGTTAAACCAACCTTACACTCT